ACACACACACACACACACACACACACACACACACACACAGAGTATATAAAGAAACCATCCTCTCTGTCCATGTGTTTTTCCAGCAAGAAAATAGCCACCGGCACCTGCCAAGATATGAAGCCAACAGAAGCAAAAGCATCTCCGAAGAAGCAACGGAAGAAGAGGATGCTAAGCAGAAAGAGAAGACTCAAGGAGACCCCGTCCGATTTGGATGGGTCAAGGGCGTGATGGTGAGTAGCTTCCACAGATCATCTAAATCTCACAGGATCTTTTCCACCCCACTCAATGCCCTGGGCTACTGTTTCCACCATCCTGGACCAGTTTGGTCTCATCTAACGGGAAACTCAATTTATTTACTGCTCTGATCGCATGATATGATTGAACAGTCCTAAAGCAGAGGTACAAATTAAGCTCGAATCTCCAAAGCCAGGACATTAAAGGTAGAGGTTCCGCTCGGACATATATGCTAGTTATTCCCGACTCTAGGGGGCAGTGCTCATCTCTGTTTCAAAGCCAAAGAGTCAGCGCTAATTATAGTATAGTAATCAGTTGAGTATAGTAAACCTGTTCATTTCCCCCTCTTAACATATCTTCTAATAAAAATGTACTAATAACATTAATTGATTGCAATTAATTGCAATTGATTCTTCAGATTATTCAAAACAATCATTAAAAACTGTTTGTTGGTGGTACAACAATCACACTAATACTATTAGGCAGGACAAGAAGTAACAGGTGAAACATGAAAGAGAGGAAATTCTTGATTGAACAATTATTTAATGATAGCAATGACAATAATAATAGTAATAATAACAACTGTGATAGTATCACTAATATTACTTATGTATATTCCAATTTTTGTATCCTTTACTTGTACATATCCATAATCTTTCATCTTCTAATCTCTATTTCTTTTGTCTAACTATTGATTAAAAGAATCCCATGTTAAAAAATATTCTGTTTCTTCCTTATCTTTTATTAGTAATGTCAATCTATCCGTCTCTGTACAGTCTAATATTTTTCTAATTATACTTTAATCTGTTGGTGTGTCTTCATTTTTCCAATATTGTGCAGATACAATTCTCGCTGCTGTCAGCACATGTATTGTTAAATATGTAGTCCCTTTATTATACCTTTATTATACCTATTCTTAGGTAATATACCTAAGAAAAATATTTCTGGTTTTAAATCTATGTGTTGCTTTATCATTTTCTCCAACCATGTTATGTATTTTTGTCCATATTTTTTGCCTTTGTGCATGTCCACCACATGTGAAAGTAAGTACCTGCTATCTGATTGCATTTCCAACATCTGACCTTCCTTAGGGGCCTTCTTTCTTTGGTCCTTCCCAGTTACTAGTTGCTGCTTCTGCCTTCTAGATTCGTTGCATGCTTAACATCTGGGGTGTGATCCTGTACCTCCGACTTCCTTGGATCACTGCACAAGCAGGCATAGGTAAGTCCCGTCAAATTCATTTGTTGCTGGACTTGGCTGGTTGGGGAATTCTGGGAGATGAAGTCCATGAGTCTTAAAGTTGCCAGGTTTGGAGATCCCTGCCTAAGAGGTATAGATGTTGGAGAACCTCAGTTGAGTGACAGCTTTCTAGCACAAGATAATGGAATTGGCTTCTTTCATTTTGCAGCGCTGACTTGGGTGATCATTCTAATGTCTGTCACTGTGACCACCATCACCGGATTATCCATTTCTGCCATCTCCACCAATGGCAAAGTCAAATCAGGTAGCAATTTATTCCATAGCCAAAGAAGCTTACTCCCAAATATTTGGACTACATTTCTCTCTCTCTCCCGCTTCCTCCCTCACTCCCCCTTCTCTCTCTCGATTTTTATTGTTTGATTATAAGATAAAAAGAAACAAAAGTTGTAGAACTGAGAGAAAGAGAGAAGGGCTAAGAAAGAGGGAAAAAAGTATTAACTTCTGACTTCAGCGCAGGAAAATCTGTCTCTCTCTCTCTCTCTCTCTCTCTCTCTCTCTCTCTCTCTCTCTCTCTCTCTCTCTCTCTCTCTC